CAAGTTTCTTCTATAGGTGCCATTTCACTTGAAATATTTGTGGGTTATTTCACCAGTTAGACATATTTGTTGATAGCTTTATAATTTAGATATAGCATAGTTTAATAGAAATTTCTGTGATGATAGAAATATCCTTTACCTGCATGGTGTAATTTGATAGCCGCTAGCCACATGAGACTGTTGAACACTTGAAATATGGCTGGTGTGACCAAGGAACTGAATTCTTAATTTTATGTAATTTTATTTTATTTATTTATTTGAGTTGGAGTCTCACTCTGTTGCCCAGACTCCTGGCCACCGCAGCCTTGACCTGCTGGGCTCTGGCGATCCTTCTCTCTTAGCCTTCCAAGTAGCTGGAACTACAGGTGCACCCTACCACACCCGGCTCATTTTGATTTATTGTAGAGATAAGGTCTCACCAAGTTGCCCAGGTGGGTCTCGAACCCGCGGGCTCAGGCAATCCACTCACCTCAGCCTCCCAAAGGCACGGGATTACAGGCTGAGCCACCGAGCCTGGCTATTTTATGTAATTTTAATTTAGTTTAAATATAAATGTAAGTAGCCTCATGGCTAGTGGCTACTGAGTTGGACAACACAGGTTTAAATAGTGGTGGGGATTTCTCAGCTATTGAAAAACTTCAGCTCTGCAAAATCTTTGGGGTTGGGATAAGGGGTCTTGTCAGGAAACATGCTCAGTGAGCAGACTGTTGTCAGGCGTTGTTAAACACTTTGCTTTTCAGACATGCCTGGATAAAACTTGAGCTGTTCTCTGCAGAGGTACCTCTTGTGTGTTCTGCAAATGGTGGGCTGTACGGTCATCTTTCAGCAGATTAACTGAAAGAATATCTATGGCTGGTCTCAATTGTTCAAAGATCTGCACGCCCTTTGTGCAAGAACAGGGAAAATTTGTGTTATGACAGTGGCTGACAAAATGTTTAATGAAAGCTGCAATTGGCAGTAACTAAATTCCCTGAGGTTTCTTTCCTCTCCTCTTTGCTACTGAAAGGTGCAGAAATGCTTTTGACAGCATCTGTCCTGCTGACAGATGAATTGTTTTGACAGGAGAATCTGAAACCTTCAACTGAAGACACATTCAGATGTCAGGCCTGGTAAGGGGCGACCGTGTTCATAGAAATAAGTGAGATGCTTTAGATGTATGTGCATGTCAGCTGCTACCTGAAAGAAAGAAAGTCTCATGAAAGGTTTTCACTGATTAACCCTTTGTTCTTGGGATCCAAGAGCTCTTTGGTTAAGTGTATTTTCTTAATTGTTGAGAAATGATTGTTGTCAATAAGTGTAGCAGTCAAAGGGTTAATGAGGGAAAAAAAACCCCCAATGTTCATAGCAGTATATTATTCACAGTAGCCAAAGGTAAAAACAACCCAAATGTCCGTCAACATGATATCTGATGAATAGATACACAAAATGTGGCATATGCAAACAATAGAATATTAGTCAGCCTTAAAAGGGAATGAGATTCTGACACATACTACTACATGGATAACCTTGAAGACATTATGTTAAGTGAGATAAGCCAGTCAAAAAAGCACAAATATTATATGATTCTACTTATATGAGGTACCCAGAATACTCAGATTTATAGAGACATGGGTAGAATGGTGGTGGGTGGGGTAGAAGAGAATGGAGAGCTAGTGTTTAATGAGTACAGAGTTTTAGTTTGGGATGCTGAGCAAGTTCTGGAGATAGATTGTGGGGATAGTTGCAGTACAAAGTGAATGTCCTTAATGCCACCAAACAGTAGTACACTTTTTTTTTTGAGTTGGAGTCTCACTCTGTGGCCCAGTCTAGAGTGCGGTGGCATTCTCACGGCCACCCCAGCGTTGACCTGCTGGGCTCTGGCTATCCTTCTGTGTCAGCCTTCCAAGTAGCCAGAACTACAAGGGGTGCGCTACCACACCTGGCTAATTTTTGAGTTCTCGCCAAGTTGCCCAGGCAGATCTTGAACTACGGGCTCAGGCAATCCCTGCACCTCAGCCTCCCAAATTGCTGGGATTACAGGCTGAGCCACCGAGCCCGTCCAGTAGTACACTTTTAAAGGTTAACTTTTGTGTTACGTGTATTTTACCACGATCACAAAATTTATGCTAAGAAATTTATTTATTTCAAAATTTATGAAACTGGCCAATAAGTACGTGCCTATGAGGATTTTATTTCACATTTTCGTCAGGGAGAATAGAGTAAATATTTTCCTCATTTCCTCATAAAGCAGTTGACGATCAGCAGCTTGTTCTGGGCTTCAGGATCACTTAGTTCTCAGACTTAAAAGCTAGGGCAGTTCTGTGCCCCTAGCGGAGGCTGCTCCAAGGGGCATGAACTTCAGTGGCTGTCTTCTCTCTGCGTGGACAACAGGTGCTCTGAGAGAAGTACCCTTTATGGCCAGTACCCTGACACTCATTTGTTGATAGATGACTTTTCTAGTCGATTGGAACTCCAGAAGTTGCTGCATCCTGGCTGACCCAGGGAGAACGTAAATTTCCACTTAAAAGTCTCTTCCTCTTTGTTGCTTGAGTCTGATGTTACTTGGCTTCTTGATCATATTAACTATGGAAGACCCTTTTCTCAGGTAGCCTTATCTAAAAAGCAAAGTTTGTACATCATTTCTGAAACTAAATACATTTTGCCTGATCTTCAAGGGCAAGACAAACCAAAGGGTATTATGACTTAAAATGGCTTTATTCTAAGTTGTTGAAGAGTATGGACACATGTGCTGGGTGGGAAATGAGGGAAGTGATCTCATTTCAGCTAGTTCAAAACGCAGTCATCAGTAAATTGCATAAGACCTGGTGAGCCCTAGCTCCACCCCGGCCACATGTGTAAGCCAGAAACACGCAGTTCCCTTTGAACCTAATAGCCTCAAGAGTCAGTGGCCTAGATCAGAGGCAAAAACTGGCGGTCCTCAGGCCAAATGTGGCCTACAGATATGTTTTGTTTGGCCCATTCACAGTTCGTTTTAACTTTTTTTTCCTTTAAAGAATTGAAAAGATTCACGTGCGCATTCAGATTTTTGAATTTCTGCAGAAAACTGTGAAAATTGGTTTAATCAGCCCTTGTTTCAGGAGACAAGGAGCAAATGCCCCTTTCGGTGGGCAGGCAGGCAGCTCTGTGTTGGCCTCAATCCACATGGGCCAGGGTCACCAGCTACGTGACTTGCCAGCCCTTTTAGGCTCTTGCTGTTGTAGTGTCTGAGTCTTTCTCTAATGTCGTCTCCAGTTTAACAAGTCCTATGATGATATAGAAGGTACAGTCATTGTAAACTCAGTATCTTTACATCCAGGAATAATATTTCCATCCCTTCTTTTTGAGAGTCTGCTCAAAACAAGAAAATCTCAGTCTGTCTAGTCCTTTTTCTCATGTGGAGAATTCTCTCAATTTGTGGATTTTCTTTTCCAAGTCTAACTTGTAATTTCTATATACCTATTAATAAACACCCCAAGAGCAGACATGTTCACACTTGACTTTAATATGTGGTTTAAAAAATTACCACCTTCAATCTTTATGGTAACAATCTCTGGACAAATTGCTTTTAATTCAGGCTGTGTCATGAATACAGATGTACCATTAGTTTCAAGTGTAGTTTGACTTTTATTTAGATGAATGTCTGTAAATTCACAGTGAAATGGCTCTCAGCTCTAGGTTAGTATTGACTGAAATGTCTCTGGAGTAATTTTAAAAGGTAGTTGCCACTTAAGTGAGACTTTAAAGAGACAGACTTTGAACTCATGATTAGTTCATACTTGAACTGTAATTGACAGTAACGTCAATGGAATTAATCTCTGAGATGAAAAATGTCAACCTCTTTAGCATACACGGGGCTGGGTAGACTTGGGTGGCAGGGAGCAAGATTGCAGTGCAGAAACAATTTAGGGCTCATCTGGATCACATCTTTGTGGCTTCTGTTCCTGAAAGATGAAGCAGGTCTGATTGAGATTGTGATCAGAGAAGCGCAGCTGATGAATGTTGCCCCACTTGCTCTTTGTCTATCTCTAAGGTATGGCAGCGTGAGGAAGTGGGGATGTAATTCTGGGCAGTTGAGACAGACACTACCATCTTGGGAAGACTGCGCATGGAGGCGTTTTCTGCCTGTGGTTAACACCAACATGAATTTCCAACAACTGGCTCCTATCTCCTGTGTGACTGTCACTCCTGGTTCATTCACTGATGGCAGGAATACTGTGTTCATAAGCAGTCTTATGAGTCAGAATCTTAGAGTGTTCATTTTCTAAGCAGTTACTTGAACTTTGTCTATACATCTGAGCGATTTTTAGTCTTAAGTTCTTGTTTAGACCAGGGTTTCTCAATCTCTGAATACTAGTATTGACATTTGGAGCTAGGTAATTCTCTATTGTTGGGGGCTATCTGTGTGTCATAAGATGTTTAACAGAGTCCTTGGCTTTTACTCATCAGATGCTAGTGGCACCCTCTCTCTGAAATGTCTACAGATATTGCCAAATATGCCCCCTGGGGGACAAAATCATTTCTGGTTGAGAAACACTGGATTAAACAGTGAAGGCTTTCTTTTCTCTCTTCATTTTTTTTTCTTTGCTACTACTTGATGTTGATGCTTTAGTAAAACATTATAAAATTTTAAAATGTCATTAAGTATAGCCTTGGACTTAGTATGGCAACAAAGCATTTGGACAAAGACGCTTGACTGTAGGTAGAGGACTGGCTTACCTTAGAATTTCTTTAAAAATTGCTAAGTAGTTAAATAGTATCGATTGAAATTCCTTTGGGTTTAGCCAACCTCAGGTGATTTGGGTTTTCACAGTGTTACTTGGAGTGCCATGTTTATGGATGCAAGGAAGGAGGTGTATTTGTGAATCTCAGAATTAATAAGGTTACTTTCAATAATGTTTGAGACAGGGGCGATTATGAGAGAGAGGGCTTGAATTCTGAGGTGTGGGAGATGGGAAGAGAAGATTCCTGAATCTTGGGTATGATGCCAAGTGTTTATTCCTTTTTTTTTTCTCTCTCACCAGAAACCTTAGTTACAACAAACTCTCTGAGATAGACCCTGCTGGTTTTGAGGACTTGCCGAATCTGCAAGAAATGTGAGTGCTTCCCCTAATCCTCTGGGGGGTGAGGGGATGGAAAGCCCTTTGGAAAAATTCTCTCATGCTGCAACATCACTCATTCCCCTAGATCTGCCATCTAAACTTGTGGGAAGGGACATTTGTATCTGAGTTGTTGGTGACAAATTGTCTGACCTACTTATCTCCCTTTTGCTGCAGCCTCTCTGTTCTTCCTAGGCAGTCCAGGGTGTGTTACAATCCAGTAGGCATAGAGTTCCTGGAAAGCATGGGTACATGGTGGGTGTATAGCAGAGTCCCCTCCCTTGTGGGAAGTCTTGTAACCGGGTATGACACACATGGGCTGGTACTTCCTCACAATTCCCAGGGAGGTTGAGCAGGCCACTCAAGAGTGGCCCATTGGTGCTAGCCCACCCCTTCTGTGTTCTAGGAAACTAAGGGACAGAAGGATGAACAATGGGAACTTACTTTTTCCCCTCCACCTCCAAACAGAGCTAGGCGTTATTGCCTTTGGAGTTCTAGACTGGCAGTCTCCTGCAGTGTTCTTTAAATTAGGCTGCAATCTTTTGTTCTTCTTTTTATTTTATTTATTTATTATTGAGATAAGGTCTTGCTCTTGTCACCCAAGTTGGAGTGCAGCGGTGTGATCATAACTCACTGCAGTCTCAAACTCCTGGACTTGAGCAATCCCCCTGCCTCAGCCTCTCTAGTAGCTGGAACCACAGGCTATTTTCTTTTAAAAATACTTTTGTAGAGACACAGTCTCATTCTGTGTCCTAGGCTGGTCTCAAACTCCTAGCCTCAAGCAGTCCTCCCACCTTTGTCTTCCAAAGTGCTGGAATTATAAGTATGAGCCACTGTAGTAGGCCAAAATTTCTTCTTTTTATTAAGACATAAGTCGTATTGGATTAAGGCCCATTCATATGACTTCATTTAACCATAATCATCTCTTTAAAGTCCTTATCAGGCCAGGTGCATGGCTCATGTTTGTAATCCCAACACTGTGGGAGACCAAGGCAGGAGGATCACTTGAGCCCAGAAGTTCGAGACCATCCTGGGCAACAGAGTGAGACCTCATCTCTGAAAAAAGATGAAAAAAATTAGCTGGGCTGGTGGTATGCATCTGTAGTCCCAGCTACTTGGGAGACTGACACAGAAGGATCACCTGGGCCTAGGAGATTGAGGCTGTAGTGAGCTGTGAGCGTGCCACTGTACTCCAACCTGGGTAACAGAGTGAGACTTCTCCTTAAAATGTACAAACAAACATACAAAACAAACAGTAATAATAATAATTTAAAAGTCCCTGTCTCCAAATACAGTTACATTCTGAGGTAGTAGGGGTTAGACCTCCAACATGAACTTTAAGGGAATACAGTTCAGCCTATTATAGTCACCCAAGATGATAAGCACAATCCATCAGTGGGTTAGAACCCAGTGCTTTCCTTGATCCAAGCTGTCTTTAATGATCATGGTTAAAATATATTCAATTTGAGTGTTAAGACTCAATTTTAGTATATGTGCTGCCAAAGTGAGCACATGTGTGTTATGTCTCAAAGCTTAGTGGCTTCTTTTAGAATTGGTCAAAATTAAAATTGGGGTATTCCCTCTTATGTCATTCAAGTTTTTACCTAACATTTATTTGAGTAGCTACTCTGTGCCAGGTACTGCTCTGGGTCCTGGGAGTACAGGGGTGAATGAGGTACACAAACAGGGCTAGGACTAGGGAGAGGCAGGTGAGGTGCTCACCACAGACTCAGAATTTACATGGGTGCCAAAAACTCAGCAATCAAGGTAAAGGATATTTTGATGCAGTATTTAAAAAGTCAAAATGAATTAAAAAACAAAAATCCATGATGAGCACAATATGAAATGTTTAAATCAGGACAGGATCGGCATTACTGATTCTGTGCCTTTGCCTCAGGTTTTGGGGTATCTTGACAAGGCACTCTGCTGATCCTCTTGATTTAAACTTTTGATATTTTGTTCATTGTGGATGCTTTGCGTTCATTTGGATAGTTTAAAAATATTGCATCAACATATTCTTTGTCCTGGTGACTGAGTTTTTTGGCTGCCCTTAAATTCTGTGCCCCTCCTCATCCAAGTCTAGCCTTGCTTACAAACTTCTCCTCTCACAGAATTGTCATTAAGTTGGGGGAAGCCATGCTCTGAACAAGGAAACCAGTAAGATTTACAAGTAATATGGGGGATATAGAACAGAGTAATGTAAGAGATTGTTTTTCATCTTGTTTTCTTTTAAAATATAAATTTTGAAACTAGCCAGGTGTGGTGACGTGCACTTGTAGTTCCAGTACTCAGGACTGAGGTGGAAGGATCACCTGAACTTAGGAGGTCAAGGCTACAGTGAGTCTTGATTGTGCCACTGCACTCCGCCTGAGTGACAGAGTGAGACCCTGACTCAAAATAATAATGATGATAATAATAACAATAACTCTGGAGGCATGGTGGAGATGTGGTGGTCAGGAAGGTGATAGTTGAACAGATGTGAATGATGAGGACAGAAAGGACCGCAAGTACTGGGGCCTTGAGGAAGAAACATGCCGAGGGCCACTGTGCTTGGTGTGCTTAAGGGGAGGGGAGAGGTATGTGGCCAGGACCCGGATCCTTTAGGGCCCTGAGATCACAGTAGATATAATTTTGACCATCATTGGACTGCCAACCTTTACTCGGTACTTCTCAGAGATTCTGCCCCATCTAGATCTTGAACTGAGAACTCACTTCCGCCTGTCCTTCATTGAAGATACTAGCTATGAGTCTTAAAATACATTTCTCACTTAACAACAGTCACAGTAATCATAGCAGCACTGTGCTAATAAGCCTTTGGAGAATATGACATCATCTAACCCTCACACCAACTATGATATGGAAGATTTTCTTTACAAGACTTTTCTCCACTTTGCAGAGGAGTAAACGGAAACTCAGAAGTTAAAGAAACTTGAACAGTGTCACATGGCTGGTAAAGCTGAGATATTGAGCTCAGCTCCACATGATTCCAAAACCTGTGCATTTAACCCTGAGGCTGCATTGCCTTAAATCCTGGAGTCCCTTATCTTAACCATGGCAGTCAACTGAAGATGAAAAAAAGACAGGAATTATTCTGCCTGCATTTCTCACCCTGCTTCACTTGTTTCTATATCAGCCTTCCCTTTGTGCATATAGAGTCTTACCTCTTACTCCCAGACCCTTCATCAAAACCCACACTGTCCTTCAAGCCTGGCCTCTCTTCTCCCTTCATGTTTTGACTTTTCTTCCTCCTCTGAACTTTCTGGGCAGGATGATGCTCCTGACCCTATCCTGTGCACTTCCTTTTTGTGAGTGAATTCTTTCTTTCATCTGCCAGTGCACTTAAGAAGACTGACCATACGCAAGCCATGGTGTTAACTCCGTAAAATATCACTTCTACCTTTTTTACACAGTTGAAGGAACCAAGGCATGGGGTTTGGCTGAGATTGCATAGCTAGTAAGTGGTAGAACTGGGCCTGTGCCCCCCCAGTCAAACTCCTGGTCCACATGTTCTGTGGCAACGCTACCTCCCTTGAGTGGGGAGATGTTAAGACAGATGTCAAATTTTACAGATTGAATATAGGGTAGCGCATTTCAGTAGCAGCAGATTTGATTTTGAGTTCTGATTTTTCCTTTTACGGGGTCTGTGTTTCTGGACAAGTTACTTAGCTTCTTAGAACTTCCCTTCTTCCTCCATAATGACATTGTAACATTGTCAGCATTGTTATGGTGATTAAGATGATGTACAAGGCCTTGTACATGGGAAAGCCTTACTGAATGTCATCCTCCTCCTCTTCTGCTAATTTTGGAACCATGCAGCCCTCTAAGTTGGGCGCATTGTTTAGAAGCAAATTCTTGAGGGCTGACAGGCTGAACCTCTTACCACTGTGACCACCTCCTATCATACCCTATCCTGTGGGATGAATGAGATGAATTCACTGTTACCCAGAGCAGCATGACTTCTCACTGAGAAGGATCCAGGCCTTTTCCTAAGGGAATTCTAATATGGAGCTAGAAAGAGGCATTTGGGAGTGAGGGGTGAGGATGTGGGGAGAAGAATATGGAAGAAAAGAAGAAAATTGTAGCTGACCACCATTGCTTCAAAATGAACTAGACTTGAGCATTCCCCAGGGGCTGTCAGTTCTCTCCAGTCCTGCAGAGCTGTCAGGGTCTGGTGTCCTCAGCAAGATGGGAGCCACAGGCTGACAGAGCAGTGGGTAGTGGTTTAGCAGTGGTTTTATTTTGGAGGCCCCAGAACCACATAACGTCATGGACCAGCTGAGAGAGAAGGCGAGCCCTGTGGAGGCCCCTGGAGGACACGAGAACACTTGTACAGCTGCTTCCAAGCCACATGGGCTTCATTGCCCACAGCCCTGAGGAAAGCCCACCAGGGAGTGCTTTCAGCCGGGGGCCTGGCAGGCAAGGCTCCTCTATTAATAAGAGGGGCTATTTATATAGTCCTCTGTAAAAGCTACGCTCGGATCACGTTACTGCCGCCTGGCCTGCTAGTGCTTGCTGTGGATGCTGCTGTGTGCTTGCCAGGGCCACTGACCTAAAATGTTCCTCAAGGTGGCGAGGAGGCCTCGAGTGTGCCCTGCTTTGGATATTTGTGGCTCATCCCACTCTGGCTGGCTGCTGCTCCCCTGTGTGTATGTATGGGAGTGTGATGGGGTATGTTTAAGGGGAGGGTGAATAATGAGAGGTGTCATTTTAAGGCACTGGCTTTTTGGCTGTGAATCACTACCACCTCTAAGCAATTCCTGCATATCTGGCTATATCCTAGGCTCTTAGGTTTCATTATTTCAGCTGGATCCTGCTGAAATTGTATTATTTACATTTTTGGGAAGAGGGAATTAAGGCACAGCAAAGTTAAGTGATGTGCTTAGCATTGGATTGTTAAGGGGTGAATTGGGGTTGAGTGAACCCAGGTCAGTCTGATTTAACAATCTGAGTGGTATAATCCCCTCCTAATAATCTCTGCTTTGGAACCATGCCTCAATTTCTTTTCTTAAGGTGGGGTAATAATGTAATATCTTCCTCAAAGGTCTGGCATATCATTCAGTAAGATATTGCACATAGAGAACTTAGGGCAGAGTCTGGCACATAGTAAATGGTCAACCATATTTTTGTTTATAATTGTTAACGTAAAGTAATTATATCTGTCTTATACTAAAATAACTTTATGTGGCTATCTGATATAGACAGTATATGAGGGGGACCCCCCAAAAAAACCCAGAATTTATTTATAAAAATTGTATATTCTTACATGTTAAACTTTGGTCACCTTCAGAGTACTCCTCGTTTAATACAATACACCTATTGAGACACATTTTCCACTGCTCAAAACAGTTTTTGAACTTGTCAATTTTGATGCCTTTTAGTGCTTCTGTCATTTTTTGTTTCACCTCTTCTTCATTAGCAAAATGTTTCCCTCTGAGGATTTTTTTATATTGGGGAAACAAAAAAAGTTACCTGGGGCAAGATAGGGTGAATAGGGAGGGTGGGACATGGGGGTCATGCTGGTTTGAGTGAAAAAACTGCTAATCACTCAGTGCAGTGTGGGTAGGTGTGCTTGTAAATCACCTATCAGGAAATGGGCAAACAGGTGGAAAGAATCACCAAAAAAAGAAAAAAAAAATTTCACTGAAGCTGAATACAGTCTTTCACAGCAACACTAGCTGGTATAGTGATACTGATGGGTTCCTAGAACATTTACCTAGCAGGGGAAGCCTGTACTACAAGGGGCCCACCCTCCAAAAAATAATTCCAGGGTTTTTTTTGGGGGGAGGGGAATCTCCCCCGTATATTGCCAAAGCAATTAATTAGCTTGTGTTATTTTCAAGTAACTAAGGCATAATAATAGTTATCAAGTGACCCTGGCTCCAAATCTATGGTTCTACCTACTTGCTGCTCATGGCTTTCCCTCTTTTAAGAAACAAAACCAACCAAAGTTCTAACCCCTGCCCAAGTTTTACTGTTATTAATTGCAGCTCTGTGTGTAATGGGAAGCAACCAAAAAGCAAATGCTGTGTCTTCCAGTAGTGGATTAGCTAAAGTATGGTTGTCATACCAGCAGAAGAGTACTCTATAACTGGTTAAAATAACTGTGGCAATATCTAGGATATATTACTAAGGGAAAAAACAGCAGTACAGAACAGTTTGTATAACACACACCCATCTGTGCAAAAGAAAAACACATGTGTATTTCTGGTAGCTGGTAGATCAGAGGATGGAAGTACAAGGACGCTTTGTTTTTCTTTGTATATTCCTTGTATTCTTTTTTGAAATAGTTTAAAATTTTTATTGTGTGCTTATAACAGCTATTCAATAAATAAATACAACCTAAAAAAGCACTATAACCCCAAATTATTCCTGTGTTGGTTTTACATTGTTTGTTAAATCCAAATTTGATTAACGTGATGATGATGATGAATTACTATGAAATATCCCTCCGAATATTTTGCGTCTTACAAAATGTAAAACTTCCTTTAACCAAACCAAGTAAGTGGAAGTTTTGTGAGAAAGCTGAGGGACCAGAAGGTCTAAGCCGCCCTTTGGATTGAGTTGAAAAAGGTTCCACCTCCATGTCAGGCCATCCATGTCCCTCACTTGTGTCTTCTCCAGCTTCAGGGTCAGGCCGTGACTCATGGTCTGATGCATCGGAGGCACTGTTTCATCCTGAATCACCAGTAAAAAGTTCAGTTTTAGAGCCAGACATTTTAGAACGATTCTTAGAGCTTTGGATAGAAGTAAATTTTGGAGAGGGATACGGAGTGGGGAGTAAGTTGGAGAGGGATGAGGAATGGGGTAAGTGGTAGAAGACTGCACAACCATAGATAGTCAAAAGATTTCATCAGACACAGTCTTTATTTTCTAAAATTTTCTTATTCATGGAGACTCTGCTGTCCTTCCCAAGAGCCTTTTCCCTCAAAGCTTGAGCTGAGCTATTTTTGACCAGTCTCTATTTCTGTCTGGCAAGATGTTCACTGCATCTCACAGTGAGTTGGGCCTCTATTGCCTTCTGAGGATAGTATTCTTGTTTAACATGACAGAGCAAACGAAGAGGAAGCCAGTAGTGGCGCAGCTCTCAGACTTACTTCAACCAATGGTTCTTTTTTTAAAGAGGAAATGATCTAGAAGTAAGCACACTGTGCAGTGTGTCTCTTTGGGGCTCCGACTGTCCTCTTTGTAATCAGGCAGCCCTGTTGAGATTAAAGCCTGCTATTTCTGACCGAGCCTGTTGACTTGGGGCTGCTCATAAGACATACAGTGAATGCCCCGCTAACCTTCAGCATTGGTCTATTGCCTCTGTATGTGCCACTTCCAGCAGTTCTGTTAAGATTGTATATATTGTTACGTCCCTTTTCCTTGTTCGTTTATTTCTGTGAAACTGGGTGGAGCAGTTTGTCCTAGGTACGGTGAGGCTGGCCTGAGACCAGACTCATCAGCCAAAGCTCCCTACAGAGAAGTCTACGTTCTTTGTTTCAGGTTTAAAATGGTAAGCAGGCTGGAAAACAACTATGATGTTACCTAAGGGATTATGGGCTTTCCGACTGGCCTTTTAGCATGTTACTCGCCTCTGATTTGCAGTCACATTTTGTTTGGCACTGGGCTGTGTCCTCCCTAGTTGTGTGACCCTTGGCTAGTTACTTAAACTGGCTTAGAGAACTTATCTATAATGCAGGGACCAGGAGGAATACCTGGCACCTAACTCAAAGTTGTGGTGGTGAAATTACATAAGGCATGAAGAGTGTTTGTTTTAATTATAAAGAAATATAGGGTAATCATGAAGAACCAAGACTCGGATAGACACCCTGGGCCACTGGCACTTATTGCTGGAGATCTTAGTCAAATTACTTAACATCTCAGTGTTTTCATTTCATCAGTGGTATAGTAGAAATGTTCCTGGGACCTACTTCCTAGGGGTCTAAAGATGAGATGATACACTGAATGGATCTTAGAGCCATGCCTGGTACATTGTAGCCTTCATTAAATTACCTCCTGCTGTTACTATTATTACTACTATCTTCTGTATTTTAGAATAAATCTCTAAGAATTGAAGGGTTCTTAGGCGTATGGCCTTATTGGCAGCAGGTCCCTGACCTTAGCTTTTCTTGCTCTGATAAAACCCAAGAGTCTCATAATAATAAGTACATTGATGGGGTACTATGAAGACTTATTAGTGAAGATGAAGACTGATGGGAGTTTTCAGTATCCCTGCACCACAATGGGAAATGGATCACAGCAGGGTTGGAGGAGATAAAAGGTGAAGCAGAAACAATCTGATTTAGGGGGCAGTAAGATAAGAGACTGTTAAAGTAATTAATTGTCTGTTTCAACACACAAACAAGGGCCCTTTAAGTGGAGAAAGGATTTACCACATGATACGGATCTGCTCTCTCTCCGCCAGATGCTTCAGTCATGAAGCTATTGAAACAGGCATTATATGTCCCGCAGCCCAGTAATTGCTAGTCTTCATCCCTAACTGACTTTGGCACTGAAGAAAGTAAATGGGATAATTCAAGGCTTTCCTTTTTTTCCCCTCCTATTCATTTCTATAAAAGATGGCAGACAATCAGATTATTCTATTCAAGCAAAGGCTAGCTGTATACTAGTATGAATACAGCTGTCATTTCAGTGGCCTTGTCTTCAAACAGTAACAAGATGCTCTGTGTAAGACATACCTCCCTCATAAAATTGAAACTACGATAACCCAGTTTTATCCCCTTGACTTTGCGTCTCAAACAGAGCTTTTTTCTAGCCTTTCACCCGGCAAAAAGCCTGAACATCAGGCTTTGGTTTTCTTAAGGATTTTTGGGCTCACTTGGCAAGTCTGAGTTTGGATTCTCTTCCCAGATTTGGAAATGCATGTCCATGTATGGAGGCCAGATTGCACAGCCTCTGGGGGCAGACCAGGCAAGCTGTCTTTTGGTTTGTGGGCTTCCCCTTCCATGAAGAGATATTAGCTATGGAAGTGCAGATTTAGACTGTTAAGTCAGGAAGAGAGCTTGGAGAGCAAATCGTGTCTGTGGAGAATTTTCAAAACGTCTGTGTTTAAAAGCATGTGCATATAATGTTCTTTTTCCTGGAAGAAGCATCTGGAGGCTTCAGTAGAGTCCAGAAAAGCTGGAACCTCAAATGGATGAAAGTCTGAGTCCATCTCCTTTGTTATTTCACAGATGAAGCATTGAAATAATTGGCCCCATGTGTCACGAGTCCTTCAGAATTCCGCGTAAGCAAGGGAATAAGTCTTAGCTCTGGGTCTGTACCCTTTGGCAAGGGTAGGTTTCAGCTCATCAGAAATGTTCCCATGGTCTGGGGGTGCTTTTGTCCTGAATCGGCATCATGACCTATTTTCATTGTTTCTTGTCTGTTAGTCTTAGGAAGCCGGTAGAAGACAGGAGAAGTTTCCTCTTAGTGTTTATTCCTAACCATGGGTGTGGAAAATGTTTAGTTTTTATGACCTCACGTGATTCCTCTCCCTTAAAAAAATCACTTCTTATTTTTTATCTTTTATTCAACATTCCAATATAGCCTTAATATGGCTGACTCACCAGTATTTTTTTATTTCTCTTGTATGTGTATGATTTCAGACTGCTAATTTAAATGCTTTAAACGATTGATTTCTTGTTGCTGTTGTTACAGGTACCTCAATAACAATGAGTTGACAGCCATACCATCCCTGGGTGCTGCTTCATCACATGTCATCTCTCTCTTTCTGTAAGTGGTGCTGTTTGGGGGACCCTGGGCTATGTGGTGAGACCATGGTGTTTGTTCCTTGCTGATACTAGGGGGGCAAGAAAACTTGAGTCGATATGCTGGTTGGTGAAGAAAGCTTCTTCATGTGTCCCCAGTGATCATGACAGATGCCTTGCTTGCTGTTTTGAGTTTTACAAAATTAAGAGCTGGAAGTTTTGCCTGTTCTCTTATTTGGGGAGGAAATAGATCTTTTTAAATGCCCAGAGGTACATGGTACTAGATTTCTTGCTCCTAGTGGTTAAGCTGCAGCTTTGTTGAATAAACTAGAGTTAAAGAAAGCCGCATGAATTATAAGATGGCAAGCTCATCTTTGTGCCAGTGAATTTGGTAATGTGACTAATTACTTTTATTGGCTTTAAAAAAATGCCCTCAGGGCTCTGAAATCAACATAAAAGTAAGGAATTGTTTGTCATGGTCAAGTGTTGACAAAATATGACCTGTTTATTATTATAGACAATACATTGGCAATGATAAAGGGTTTAAAGGATCTTAACTAAAAAAGGAAAAAGGAAGTCATAGGGGATGCTGTCATTTGAGCTGTGAAGAGCCTTGTGAGAGAATCGTACTGGCCTCACCTTTGTCTCTTTAGTGGTCAGGTAGGGGAGAGATGGGGGGGGGGTTCGCTTGATTTTTAACTCATCCCAAAGACTTTCCAGATAAACTAGCCACGAGTTCAACAATTTTCCAGGCCAAATTTTATTGGCAGCTTCCCCAGCAGAGCACCGCCCTCTTCACACAGAATTTCCTGTTTCCACTCCAGCCTTGCATATTTATATTTTATTTTGATTTTCTTGGTTTTATAACTCGTTTGTGCACCTGTATGTATCTTTTCTTGAGACGGAGGCTCGGCTGACTGCGCAAAGGCACTTGGCAGAAAGATGCTGTTAGTAAGAGTGCTGCTGTGGCTTGCTGATCTCCGTTTTTTGCTGGCACCAGGCCCTGTTTTTAGGAGGTGCTATGTCCTTGGAAAACATGGTCTTGAACTTAACCCTTTTCAGGTTGCAAGAGAGCCTGGGGGGTTTAAATTGTGGCTCACTCTCTGTCCTAGACAGATGACTTAATATCTCTGAACCTTGTTTTCCTCATTGATGCAGTAAGTTTTTGACCTGCTTTATGCACAGGAAGAGTGAGGGCAAGGTGAAAGAGGAGTGCAATGTATATGAAACTCCTGAATCATGCAGGACCCTAGTAAGTGTCTGACAAATGGTAGCTGCTACTTCTGGCTAGTGGCTAGTTGTCACATGGCTCCTTGGGTCTTGGAAAGAGCTTACCTTTAGGGCCACAGGATTTGTGAGTCAGGCCTTGTTCCCGTGAAGCGCTGGAATGAAAGTTTGTGGCCCTTTTTCTTATTGATGGATAGGCAAAGGTCTGACTTTATTTTGTGCCCATTGTCTGAGAGGTGTTTAATTGTTGGCCAAATTAAATGAATTAGCCTTATGTGAGGCTAATTGGGAATGTGAGAACCCCTCGTGTATTCATTAAGCAAAGCACTTGGAGATGCTTATAACTCCTTGCTCCTTAAAGTGCAGGTCATGATCCATCAGTATATCAGCTTTGAGCTTGTTAGAAATGCAGAACCTCAGTCCTCATCCCCACCCTACTGGATCAGAAGCTGCATTGAACAAGGTCCCTGGCCATCTGTCCACATGTTAAAGTCTGAGAAATACTGATATAACTCCTTTTGTTCTTTACTTGGGATCACGGAGAATATCTTTGTGTTAACAGAGAAGAAACTGAGGCTCCCTGGAGGTCTTGTAAGTAGCAAAAGTGAGAGGAGAACCACGACTGGACACAAATGCCCATGGATCTCTCCCTTATCTGCCCATGTGCACGCAGGGCAGGAGCACAACAGGTGACTGAACCACACAGTGCCAGAGGCAGGCAGGGCCCCCAGCTTGCCCCACGGGCCTGTGGCACTTTGAATCACGCCTTGCTCTACTGACTAAAAATATTTTTCTGTTCCTTGGCCCAAGTGCCAAGAGAAGTGGGGCCGTTTGGCCTTGGTCCTGATATTCCATTAGACAGCGTTGAAATATGTAAAGCAAGAGAAAAAAAAAAAAGACTCCCTCCCTGTTTTGATTCGGTTTGGAAAATACAGGTTAGCATTGGCAGCCACTTCTTGGCCTAAGTTGGGTTCCATCTGACTTGGTCAGTGATTTCAGAAACTGAAGGGTCTTTATCTTGGTTTCCCTGAGGTGCCTGTGTTCTCTGTTCTGAGACTGGATGCCTCAATTTAATGCTTGCAGAAGTTAGGTTAGCAGCGTAACATCTGGGTAACAGGATTATTGATAAGTTTGCTGTCATCCTTCATGCCTTTTCTGTATTTCCCAAGTGGACCATGCAAAGGATAAGAGAGAAAATAGCAGAGCAAGCAGCCACTGGGCATCACTTTATAGTCACAGAACCAATGAAGGCAGAGGATTTAGCATCTCCATCCACGTGATGGTTCCAGTCGTTCAGACTTTGAAGAGCGTGTTTTGCTGATATGTCTGTTACTTTTCCTAACTTCTGAAATAAAAGGTGTCACATGTTCCAAAAATATTTCATGCCTCTATGAGTTGTGTGGCCCAGAGGCTATTCCGATGTGATGTGGAAACCCTAACACATTATCTGAAAATCTGATGGTTAATAGTTAGATGTCCTTAATCCCCAAATTTTTATTATTCTTTTGTGGGCAGACAGAGGATCAGAAAAATAATCATAATGTACAAAGGGAGTAGAGCAGACATCTGCCGAGGCTATGTGAGTTAGAGGGGCTGGGATAACTTTCTTGGGGGAAAGTTTACAAACAGGTACATCAGGGAAAAGTGGGGACCAGGCCTATATTCAGCTCTGTCTCTGATGTAGTTGAGCCTGGGATAATTTGCATTTTTTATCGCTTGTTGAAGGAGGGAGTTGAAACATGGTAAAAATAACGCTTGTAGCTTTCATATGCCTTCTGTGACCCAGAAGTTGAGAGTAGGGGTAATAATGTCACAAAAGACATAGTTCCTTCTCTGGTAACCACTGTTGCTGCTTTGTATCTTACTGTAGAAGTAGCAAGTTTGAAATTTACAGCTCAGATACCTGTAATTACAGACCTTCACCTTTGGAAGCTGGCTCTTCATCTCTGTGTTTCACTTGCTTACATGGGAGCACTCTGACTTCCCAGAGCCCTCTTAGTTGGGCGGCACGGTTGGGAGGGCTTCGTGGGAAGAGGCTTCACTTTGTGCCTGGCTTTAATATCGGGGCTTTAGAAGAGGGTTCCAGAGGCTGTGGAACAGGAGGCATAGAGCAAAATTTCAATTGGTTAATACTTTCTGATTAAAGGAATAATTCAATTAAAGGATTTGTCGAAGAACAGTTTTATTTGCAGTGTGTTCTGAGGATAATACCGAAGCCATTTGTCCTTAATAACAGAAAGCATAAAACTCAAGGAAAGCTCTTGGGTTGCAGTGAGGGAGCTAATATCATAAAATAGTGCTCAGAAAAAGAAACAGACTTTTGTTAAATGGGGGAAGAATCTGCCAGTGTATTTTTACGTTTGAGAATTTTTTTTTTTTAATTTGAAGTCCAGGAAACTCAAGTTACGATTCCCACGGCAACAGTAATTTTGTCTGATGCATAAATGGCATTTTTGTTGAAGAAAAATTTCCGCTTTTCCTGTGGTGTTACTCCACTTTGAGAAGATTGGTTACAGTGGAAATGGTTGAATTTTTGCAGTCCTAAGAGTAAAAAGGCTTGCTATAAAGCCAGCTGTAGCTCTGTCTCCTGTACATGGGCTGTAGCATGTTCCCAGATGGCCCCTGGCTTTGTCTACCTGACTTCTTTTCCAGTTGGCAGTATATTCTAGTCCTTATCCCTTAACCATGTCTCATTATTTGGTCTCCCCGAGCCTGTGTCCTTGATCAGGTGGGAGAACTAGGCAAAAATTAGGTGTACACAATTACTTGCGACTTTGTAATATTGCTATTAACATTCTTTAAGTTTATACTGCTTTTGAAAACACACTGAAATGCCGTTTACTCCTAATCTTGAAAAAAACTGAGAACTATTTTTTATGAGATAAAATTAGCATACCATAAACTCACCATTTTAACCTTTTTTTTTTTTTTTGGTTGAGTTGGGAGTCTCACTCTGTCGTCCAGACTGGAGTGCATTGGCCGCTCCCAGCCACTGCAGCCTCGACCTGCTGGGCTCCAGCGATCCTTCCGCCTCAGCCTTCCGAGTAGCCGGAACTACAGGCGTGCGCTACCACACCCAGCTGGTTTTTTAAAATTTATTGTAGAGATGAGGTCTCGCTGCCCAGGCAGGTCATGAACCCGCGGATCAGGCAATCCACTCACCTCAGCCTCCCAAAGGCGCGGGATTACAGGCTGAGCCACCGAGCACGGCTTTTTTTTTTTTTAAGTTGGAGTCTCAATCTGTTGCTCAGGCTCGAGTGCAGTGTCACGCTCACGGGCCACTGCAGCCTTGACCTGCTGGGCTCAGGTGATCCTTCCACCTCAGCTTTCCAAGTAGCTGGAATTACCGGCACGCACTACCACCCCCAGCTGATTTTTTTGACTTATTGTAGAGATGAGTCTCACCAAGTTGCGCAGACTGGTCTCGAACTGTTGGGCTCAGGCAGTCCTCTCTCCTCGGGGTCCCAAAGTGCAGGGATTATAGGTGTGAGCCACCGCGCCCGGCCTTTAACCATTTTAAAGTGTACATTTCAGCCACTTTTAAGTACATTCTCAATGTTGTGCAACCGTCACCACTGTATAATTCCACTATAACATTTTCATCACACCATAAAGAAACCCTGTGCCCCTTAAGTAGTAGCCACTTTCCATATCTCCCTCTCTCTAGCCTCTGGCAACCACTTATCTGAAAGCTAATTTTTTTTTTTTCATGTTAACAAACGTACCTGGAAGACTTAGAATATGAATAACTTAAATAAAATATCCAGGTGGCTTTCACTACTGTATTTTGCTGTGACC